GCCACATCATTTATGGATTTCAAATCCCATTTTGAAATCCCAAAAAAAAAATCAAAACAAACACCCCCAAAAAGATTACTTGCTTACTTTGAAGAAACAAGCAAAGAAGAAAGTATAAAACATTCCAGCTCAACACCGAAGATACGTTACGTGTCTTCTCTCTCACTACTCTCCCAGGTTAATCACTCGCTAGCCCCACGCTCTCCCTTAAAAATCGGAAAAAAATAAAACAAAAATTAAAAAAAAAACGAGAAACTTCAAGAACACGCGTATGGTGCTCCGCACTCCTCTTCCCTCTTAACCGGCTCCCCCTCCCCTCCCTGAAAATAAAACTCCTCCAATTAAATCCCGAAAGGAAAAAAAAACGCAAAGTAAACAAAAACAAACAATAAAAAAGAGGGGGGAAAATGGCGACAGCTGGAGACATCGAGACGCCGCCAGCCCCCGTAACACCACCGACACCGACCGACGGCGTTAACAGGTCATTAGCTAACGGTAACGCCGCCGTCGGTCGCTGGAAACAGGAGTGGAGCTGCGGAAGTGGAAGAATGAGGATTTCCATGTGAAGTTAGCCGTTGGCCTCCGTGCGATGACGTGGCTGTTCTCGCTGATCGCGGCGATCGTGATGGCGACAAATAAGCATGGCGATTGGAAGGAGTTTAATAATTACGAGGAATACAAGTAAAGTGCATTTGATTTTATACGAATTAACGCTTTTTTTTTATGGAATTCAGTCTTACTAGTGAAAAGTGAAAACGCGAAAATGTTTGCACTTTCTGAGTTTATTTTGAGCTGTTTGGTTCAAGAAATTTTTTGGCATTTGGCGTGGATAATAAATTTTAGGATAAGAAAATGTGTGTTTTTTTTAAAGATTTCGTAGTTGATGATTGTTTCAATAATTTTTTTAGAATGTCGAATGTCAAAAGTGTAAAAACCATCTAATTTTTAGAATTGGTCAAATCCTTTCAATTGAATAGGATTTGGCAAATTTTATAAATGCGTATGTTTATCCCTCTTTCTATGTCTTGTATTTTATTTTCTTAACCTCACTAAGATAACTATATTCACACCTTCTTCTTTTTATTAGAATTTATTATCCTATAATTTGGGTTTGAATCACACATGATATTGCAAATTGTAAGATTTTCTTTCTTATAATAATATTGAACCAAACAAAATATTAGAAATCCCAAAGCATATATATATAAAGCCCTGTGGATATGAAAAATGAAATAGACTCTAAAGATTTGATTGACGGTACCAAAATGATACATTGTAATGCCTAAAAGTGAAACTAGATTACTAGATGGGTAGTAAGACACGTGTTCTGGTATAGTATTTTTTGCTTTTCGACCGCAAAATTGAGGTATTAATATTGAATTTGTGTTTGCAGCAAGTCATGAATGCTTCCCGCCAGTGAAGAATCTGGCGTGAAAGCGGCGCGTGACCCTCAGATGACCTTGTGGGAACATCCGTCAATGTTTATGCTCTGTTTAAATTAAAATAACTTTAAAAGATACAAATTTCACATAAATCTCACAAATTTGACTATTAATCACATCATTTATCTTTGCCATATCATTAGATCACCGCCGCGTAAGCATTTAAAAAGGTCCACAAGAGGTCATGTGATGATCACGTGACGCTTAGCAAACGTTCATGCCTTAATGCAAACATAAATTCAATATTAAACCTTAATTTAGCACAAGAAAATAAAAATATCGTATCAGGAAGCATGTTTATGCTCAATTTTATTTGTTTATTTATCTCTTTTATGCGTTGAACTTTTTGGACTTCTTGTTGATATTCGACTGCAATTAACGTCATCACATCTTTCATTTTACAGCCCACGCAGATCGCGACATACATTCAAATTTACATGAGTCATAGGTTTCAATTTTTTTAAGACAAACTTTTTATAGATGCGATCAAAGTAAACAGTTGCACTTGACTCAAAATATTAACAAGCAATTGAAACTAGTTGCAACGAATCAAACAATCCTTGCAAATTATTTCTTATTTTGAACAAAAATATTGACAAGAATAGCGTTAGTAACAGTAATGCTAATAATGATGTTATTAATTTTGTGTCAGATATTTGGTGGCGATTGATTTCATGGCGTTTCTGTACTCATGGATTCAGCTGGCACGGTTCAGTTCGCGTAGAGATTTCGTAGCGAAGCAGTTCGCTGGGATGTTTGATTTTGTTGGAGATCAGGTGGGTTTACCTTTTTAATATTTCTTGCATGTTTATTTCTTAGAATTTTCATTGTTATTAAAACGTTAGGAGTTATTTTGATTTAATTGTTGTATACTTAGATACTGTTTGTTAACGGTCTAATTTTTATTTTCAATGTTTAGTTAGCAACAAGAGAGTTAGAAATGGAAATTGATTTGCATCTTGTGTCTCAGGTTGTCGCATATCTGTTGATGTCGGTGATGTCAGCAGCAATACCGATGACAAATCGAATGAGAGAAGGAGCAGATAACATGTTCACCGATGCATCCGTAGCGTCTATCAGCATGACATTCTTCGCCTTTGCATCCTCCGCTGTCTCAGCTTTAATTTCCGGATACAAATTTTCTAGACAAAACATAAATATACAAGGCTAAGTACTTAAATAAATACATACATACTTAATATTGTATTCTTTGGTCTCTGCAATTTTTTCTCGCGTGTGAGGTTGTATTAGTCAATTCCATTCATTTGTATAAGCTATTATATGTGTAGAGTATCATTATTGTATTAGTTATATTTAGGTTGGTTTTTTTTTTCTTTGACCTCCACCATAAGGGGCTTGTAAGTGTTGTAAAATGATCTGAAGTTGTAAGCAAGTTATTGTTGTAGGAATACTTGTGATATTAAGTTTGCATCTTTTCTCTCTTTAACATTTTTTTCATGTTCTATTACTCTGGTTGGGAGAAGTCAATATCCCAAGGAGATCTAATAAAAATAGGATTAATGTCACACACGATTCCTTCGGTATTAAACTTACTATCTCTCTAGTTTCGTAGATATTGCACGTTGATGAAATTTTGGTAGATATTGCACGTGGGTGAAATTTGTGAGTCTTTTTGGAGATAAGAGTAAAAAAAATTTAACCTGGGGATCTATTCACGACGATGAAATTACAAAAACTGCAATACTACGGTTGTTCTATGTGCAATGAACAATATCCCTATGCTGGTTTACAATCAGGATTATTGTGTGTAATTTAAAGTGGTGGGTTAAAACCATCCAATACTCAAGCTGCAGTTCTCTCTTTAAAAAAAGTCATAAAAAATAAACATAAAATGCAAGAAAACCCAAAATTTCTTATTAGTACATGAGCTCCCAACATTAGTTATATACTTTTCCAAGATTAAGAAAATTGAAGGAAAAACTCTTTCAAAAATAGTAAAAAAAGTAACATCAAAAGTACTAAAACCTGTGAATGTGGGATGATGAGACAAGAGATGGTGGCAACCCCATGCTCACCCATGCTCCCCTTGCTCACCCATACTCTCTTGTCCCCTCTTCTTTGCCTATAAATAGGAGAGGTGAGGAAGAGAGAAGTTGGGGGGCAAATCTTGAGCGGTGGAAAGGAAAGAAAATCTTGAATGAGTGTGAGAAACTTGAGTGGAAGTGAGAAGAGAGAACTTGTGGGTTGTTGTACAAGTTTGGTATTCTCCTCATAGTGAAATCCCGCTCCGATGGACGTAGACAAGTTTGTCGAATTACGTAAATCTTGTGTCTTAACTGTGAGTTGGTTTTGCTTGTAGGTTCCCTCGACAAGTCAGTCTTAGAACTGATGAGAGATTGAGCTGGAACAAGAGTTGGCTATTGCTTGTAGGTTCCCTCGATATTCAGTCCTAGAACCGCTGAGAGGAAGAGTGTATACCTCACTTTGTTGAGTATTCAACTTTCTGTTCTCGTTTCCTTAGTGAAACGGGAATATAGAGGTTGACTTGAGTTTTTGTGAAAACAAAAGTCAGGGTTTTCTCTCGGGTGATATCGCTTTCGCGGCGTGAGGGCGTGACTCTGCGCCCAACAATTGGTATCAGAGTCCTTGATCAGATTGGTGGTGGTAGAACTTCCAATTTGAGGTGGTGCTTGGTTATTTTGTGGTGAACACAAGGTGTTTGTTAAAATTCCTAAGAGAGGCGAACTCATTAATACAAGTAGAGGATGGCTTCTACAAGGAAGACAGTTAAAGTTGGGAAGTACGAGATTGAAAATTTTAATGGGAAGAATGATTTTTCTTATTGGAGGATGCAAATAAAAAATTCGTTGATTTCACAAAAGTTGCACAAAGCTTTGGCAGGAAAAGAAAAGAAGCACAAGGACATGTCTAATGAGGATTGGGAAGAGCTAGATTTGGAAGCACGAGCGTCGATTATCCTATGTCTTGAAAGGGATGTGGTTTTCTTGGTGGATGAAGAGAAAACGGCTGCGGGCGTGTGGTTAAAGTTAGAGAGCACCTTCATGACGAAGAGTCTAATGAACCGGATCTATTTAAAATCTAAATTGTACACTTGCAAGATGGAGGAAGGCTCGTCAATCCGTGAGTACATCAACAAGTTCGATAGGATCTTATCGGATTTGAAAGACATTAAGGTGACAGTGGAAGACGAGGAACATGTACTTCTACTACTTATATCTCAGCCAAAGTCTTATGAGAATCTGGTTCAAATACTAATGCTTGTGGGTGACAGTTTATCGATGGATGAGACTAGAACGGCGCTTCTAGCGGATGATCTTCGAAAAAATGCTTGTGGGTGACAGTTTATCGATGGATGAGACTAGAACGGCGCTTCTAGCGGATGATCTTCGAAAAATTACAACTAGTGATATGGCCGCGCTTCTAGCGGATGATCTTCGAAAAATTACAACTAGTGATATGGCCACTGGTGGTAACAAAGAACAAGTGCAGGGGTTCTTTTCCAGAGGAATGGGAAATGAGCGAGAAAAAGATAAGGGAGGAAAGTCTAGATCAAAATCAAGACCTCTTGTGGAAAGAACGTGTTTCAAATACGGTGGGCTAGGACATTTCAAAGTCAATTGTCCTAATAAGAAAGTAGGCGGGAAGAAGAACAACAAAAAGACTGAAAGACGAGAAGGCAAGGAAGAGATGAGCTACGCTTTAGGGAAAGGGAGCGATAAGGAATGTTATGTCGTCACGGGTGGCGAGGATACCTTTGGGAAGTGGATACTTGATTCTGGTTACTCTTATCATATGTGTCCAAATAGGAAGTGGTTTACTATCTACAGGAGCATTGATGGTGGAACCGTATTGATTAGGAACAATCATGCTTATAAAACAGTGGGGCTAGATGATATCAAGATCAAGATGCATGATGGAGTGGTTCGAACCTTGACGGATGTAAAGCACGTTCCCGACTTGCGGAAGAATCTTATCTCAGTTGTGCTTTGGACTCCGGGTGGTGCAAGATTGTAACAGAGAACAGAGTAAAGAGGGTTGTTCGGGGTTCCTTAGTAGCGATGAAGGGCATTCGTCACGATAACCTATATACTCTCTTAGGTACGACGGTGACGGGAGATGCAGCTGTTGGAACTAATGGGAGTGGTGGAGACCCATGTGAGCACACATGGTTATGACATAGGCGGTTTGGGCACATGTCAGAGAAGGATCTAGATCTGCTCGGTAAGGATAGTTTGTTGAAGAATCTGAAGAAGCCTTGCATGGATTTTTGCGAGAACTGTGTGTATGAAAAGGCACACAGGGTCCGGTTTCTGACAAGTAATCACAAGAGCAGAGAGATACTAGATTATGTGCACACGGATGTTTGGGGTCCGGCTTCGGCAACTTCCAAGGGTGGTTCCAGATATTTTGTCTCATTCATAGATGATCATTCGAGGTATGCTTGGATTTCAAGGGTGGTTCCAGATATTTTGTCTCATTCATAGATGATCATTCGAGGTATGCTTGGATTTATTTTCTGAAGCATAACAGATATTTTGTCTCATTCATAGATGATCATTCGAGGTATGCTTGGATTTATTTTCTGAAGCATAAGAATAAGGTATTTGAGACATTCAAGAAGTAGAAGGTGATGGTTGAGAACATGACAGAAAAGAAATTGAAGACATTGAGATCTAAGAACGGTACAAAGTATACAGATAGTGCCTTCAAGGAGTTCTGTAATCAGGAGGGGATTACCAGACACTGGACAGTTAGATGTACATCACAGCAAAATAGGGTCACGGAGAGACTGAATCGAACACTGCGGGAGAAAGCAGTGAGTATGCGATCATATACAGGTTTGGGAAAAGAATGGTGGGCAGAGTCAATTGTTACAGCTTGCTATATTGTGAATCGATCCCTACATTCTACATTGGATGGTGATACTCCCTATCGGGTATGGTCAGGGGAGCATGCAGATTATGAGAGGCTTCGAATTTTTAGGTGTACTGCCTACTATCATGTCAACGAGGGAAAGCTTGACGGGATGGCCAAGAAGGTAATTTTCTTAGGGTATACAAAGGGTGTAAAAGGCTATCAAATTTGGTATACAGAAGATTCGAAGTTCGTGATTAGCAGGGATATTACCTTTGATGAGAAGTCCATGATTGCTAGGGTGCCCAAGGATGATGATATTGAGACTATTGGGAATTCTAAGTCCCAGATTATTAAGATAGAACCTAAAGACCAACCAGGTTCTAGTCGTGTTCAAGTGGAAAATCAGGTAGATGATGAGCTTGAGCAAGAGGAGATTCAACAGGAGAATACACAAGCACTACAACAACAGCTCGAGGATAGCTTGGCTTTTACTAGGCTAAGGCGAGCATACAAGCAGGTACAGAAGCTGGGGACTGATCAACCCCTGAAGCACTATGGGCAGGTTAATTTGGTTGAGTACGCATTCTCGGTGGAGGAAGATGAACCGGTCTCCTTCAAGGAAGTTATTCGAGATAGAGATAACGAGAGTTGGTTGGCTGCGATGGAGGAGGAGATGAAATCTCTCCGGAAGAACCAAACATGGGAGGTAGTCCCATTGCACGTAGAAAAGAAAGCTATAGGTTGTAAGTGGCTGTATAAAAGAAAGGAAGATCCTTCAGAGTTCAGTGGTACGAGGTACAAGGCGAGCCTAGTGGCTAATGAGTTTGCACAAAGAGAGGGTGTGGATTATAATGAGATATTTTCTCCTGTGGTGAAACACACTTCTATTCGGGTGTTATTGAGTATTGTTGCTCATGGTGATCTTGAGCTGGAATAACTCGATGTAAAGATGGCCTTCTTGCACGGAGACTTAGATGAAGAGATCTATATGCATCAACCTGAGGGCTACAAGGTTGAGGATAGCCTTCTTGCACGGAGACTTAGATGAAGAGATCTATATGCATCAACCTGAGGGCTACAAGGTTGAGGATAAGGAGCATCATGTATGTCGCAGATCTATATGCATCAACCTGAGGGCTACAAGGTTGAGGATAAGGAGCATCATGTATGTCGCTTGAGAAAATAACTATATGGATTGAAGCAATCTCATCGGCAGTGGTACAAGCGATTTGACTCATTCATGTTGAAGCATGAATTTTCTAGAAACGACTATGATTGTTGTGTCTACATTCAGAAGCTTCGTGAAGGTGATTATATCTATCTTGTTTTGTATGTGGATGACATGCTTATTGTTTCGAGGAGCAAGGTGGAGATAGATAGGCTGAAATCTCAACTTGGTAAAGAGTTCGAGATGAAGGCACCATCTGTATTGCAGAAAATAGGATACAAATATATGATATAAATATACTAAAAAAGAAATTATCACAATTAACGCAAAGAGAAAGAAATGATCCCATCTTATTGTTCTATACAAAATTTTAAATCCAGGTCTTTAAGGGCTATCCCTTTTTGTGCAGAAAAGATGGTAACTG